TCAATTACCCTCTAATTACCCTCTCCCATAACTTTAAAGTATGATACATCAACTTAATTCCTCTATAATTTGCACAATCTTCGTGCATCCACTCCTCAGCCATCTTTTTAGTTTTTAAAATAATATTAAAGATAATATTAAAGAGTTTAAAATAATACTAAAGAGTTTAGAAAGCCAAGAAACCCCCAAATCTCCTAAATATTTCCACACTTCAATTGGGATATCATCAAGTCCTACAGACTTTCCACTCTTCATTTTCCTTGGTTTTCTTTAAAGCCTCCTCAACTTCCTTTTTACTAATGCGACGGTAAAAATGAATCATTTTATTATTATTCACGATATTAAGATCACTAAGTTCAATCATATTTTTAGAAATTTCATTAAAAAAATTATCAAAATAACTCACACACCTATGTTGAATATTTTTTTCTAAGAAAAGTACTTTTTGATTTATATCTTTAATACACTTAAGTTAAATCTTTACTTTTCTTTTCTCTTTTTTTGGCTAGTTTATACATATATTTTTCACCCTCCTTAGTATCTAATATATTATAAAGATCATTAAAATCAGAATTTTTAGCGTCACGGATTGTTTTTTTAGACTCCATGCGGGTCGTTTGATATTTTTTTCATGTTCTTTAAGCTTTTACATTTAAACCAATTTTTATAACATAACTTCTTATGTTTTATCTTTTCTCGCACATTATTATTCCACCACCAACTATTTTTATCTATAAAAATTTTTTTTTTAATTCTCCAAGCACATCTTTTGCTATTTATTTAATAGTGTTTGTTAATTTATCCCACATAAAATTTTCTTTTTCAAGAATATCCCAAATTTTGCAATATTGAATTTTACTCATAAAAATAATTTTATTTATGTCTTTTAGGCTCCGACGTCTAATTCTACGATGATGAGTCATAGTATTCTTTATTTTACAACTCTTCATTTTAAAATCTAGAACTAATAAACGATGTTCGATACTTAAATTCTCACTTAGAATGACCTTACAATCTTTACAATTTCGACGATCTCTTCTTTTCATAAGAAAACAATCAATTTGTTTTTTATTAGATTCACTCTTATAAGTAATAAGATGTTCATCTCTTTTCATGAATAAAATATTAGTAATAACAAAATATACGCTAAAGCAAAATCTAAAATAGTTCTACCTT